ACTTCTAGTGTTTCTTAAAGTCCATTGGGGTCAACTTTATGATCTGTTAGTATCAACAGTCGTTTTTTTAAAGAGGAGACTCAGACTGCCTTTTTTGGAGTCCATAATATTTAAAAGGAAAAAAAAGCCCCATCAAACATCAAGTGCTGTAGGCATTTATCCATCTGTTTTGCTGGGGGAAGATTGCTTAATCGTGTGTGAACCAAGCCTTTACTTCTGTGAATCACACTGAATTGAATCAGATCAAATGAATGATCCGTATTAAAACTCAGACTGTAAAAGCCAGAAGTGTCAGAAATGTGTGCCTGTTCATGTGTGGGTGTCAAAAAGATGGTTTTTGACTTGAGGTAGAGGTCACTCTATTGCCAGACTTGCTATTAAAAATGACGTTTTCATGAGCAAGCTAACCTGAGAAGAGCCTCCTTGCCTGCTGCTTTTTGAGAAGGCTTGTATTGCTGAAGTCGTTTTGAATTCCTTGACACACTGCACTGGGTCCTGCAGACCCTGATACAGAAAGATACTAGTTTGTGCTATATTTACTTGTATGTCTTTACTAGGTGGCAAAGCTTCTGAAGTTTTCTTGATACTAAACAGAGTTTTGATGGTCCTTAGATACAATGGGTTTTTAGTTTTATGCCCTATAAACATACCCTATATCTGCCCCCTCTACTTGAAGACAATTACACTAGAGTGTGTCGTGATGCTGTAAAGCTTTGGACAGGTTTTAGTGCCGATGTGGATTGGAAGACACAGTCTGTCTCTGAATGACTTGTACTTTGGCTTTATTTCTGGTCTTTGTAAAAAGCTTTAATAGTCCCCTCGTCTTGTGAGGTAAATGTGAGCATCACGTAAATTGTCTGCAAGGCAAAGTGAACAAATTACATTTTCTTGGGAAAGAACAGCAAGTGGTTTAAAAGATTCAGACCACTTACATGAATAGCAGGTAAATTTGTGGAGTCATTCTCCCTTTTCACTTGGCAGGCGTGGGAGAGATGCTGCAGCATGCGTGCTGGCATCTTGGCAGCGAGCATGTTCCCAGGAAAATGGAGCTGCCCATTCAGGGTAGGAATGTAAGCTTTGCCGAATATATTGCTGACTGTGCCAGACAACTATTCATGAACAGATTAACTTTGTGTTCCTCAAGCAAAGAACTGTCGTCACTGTTTCTGTCTTGTGAGCCGTTTCTGAGTTGTCTTGAGCCAGCACCATGTCTTCTGGTTTCATTTGTATGTTCAGCTAATGATATTCAAACTGAAAAACCCACGTCTTTTTCATGTATACAGCTTGTTGCCCACAAGTTCATTGAAATACCTAGATGTTAGATTTCAAGTAAGGGAAGGGTAATTTAGTATACTGGCTAATTGCTGCTTCTGTTTGAAGATGTCCGTCTTGCATGTTATCCTTTCTCAAATGTGTTTTCTTCTCATTTCTCTTGGTGCTGAGATGTCTGCTGTGGTGTGTAAGGATGTCTTTAACATGACTTTAAATGATGTCTTTAACATCAGCTTTTAGTAGCAGCCGTAGTATTTTATGCTAAGAAGTAGTTGACTCAAAACCAGGCTGACGGTGTTAAGTAAATGCAGCTGCATCACAGTTTGAGAAACCTGACCAAATGTTCAGTGCCCCCATGGACAGACGCACTGTATAGTTGCTACTAGAAAACTATTCTTAAGCCTATGAGTGGTAGGTGAGAGCAGATGTAGGAGCAGATTTAAGCTGTCTGCCTATATAGAGTGTCTTAAAAAAACCCAAAGCAACTGAATTGACAGTTTAATAGGATTCAGGATGGGAGTGAAGGAACCAGGAGTCCTCTTCCTTCCTGGAAAACTTTAGCAGTGTCTTTTTCTTTCTTTGAATACCTTCTGTATTATATCCCTTAGGTAAGATAGGAGTGGATTTAAAGATGTAATATTTTCTGGAGGGTCATGTTTAATTCTTCCTATCCCACCCCTGTAATTAAAACAGCTGAATGTGTGTGTTCTGTTTTCTGGACTCAGACCAAGAGTGAAAAATGTCAGCCTAAGCAGTTTCTTTTTTTTTTAATAGCTATAGCAGAATAAATACTGTTTTTAAAGTCAAGATCTATTCTAATGATAGTCAGTTAATAGAAAAATCTTAGCGACATCTATTTACTCATAAATTTGGTGCCAGGCACTGCATCTTAGCTTATAAAATTCATAATTCAAAATTCAGTAGCTTACATAAAGCTACTCCCACTGCAGTTGCTGTCTTATTAATGTGAATGTAAAGACGTGGAGAAAGTTCCTATGCTCAAACAAGTAACTGATTTTGGTCTGGCAGTTTGAGCAGCCATACAGTAACACCATAATGAACAGAAAACAGACCATGATCATTCATAGGAGAGCTGTGGAAATACTAGTATTGATTTCTCATTGGCTTGGGGGTTTTGTTAGTTTACAAGCCAAGTGATAGCTGAAGAGAGTTTGGTTGTCAAGCTTCTTTTTGAATTAAGCAGAGTTAGGTAGTACATGCTTTGCTGTTAATGTCTTGGCTGTTGAGGCTTGACATGAAACATTACCAGGAGAATTCAACTGAAAGGTTTCATCTCATGCCGATAAAGCAGTTAACACCATGATATTGCATTCCAGAGGTTAAGACCAAGGCCTGATACTTGCCTGACACTAGTGAGTGCTTACCCTGAAGCTGTGAGGACTTAGCTTTTTTTTTGTCTTTATCTAGAGCATTGCACTTGGTTGCAATGTGGTGGTGGTCAAGAGCTTCCAGGTAGCCTCTGTTATAGGTTGTTTTGAGGAGACAGCGAGGTGTGCAGTTGTTGTGCCTCTTAAAGCGTCTCTCAGTGTGACATAGGCATTGTGAGGTGAGCTAGCAGAGGTTTTGTGTTCAGTGGGGGAAAAAGATATCGGCCTTAATGTCCCCTGTAAAAAGAGTGGCAGCCTGGCTCTGCATCATTGCCTAGAATCAGTTCATGGGATTAAATTGTGCATTATCCAGGCAACTTCTGTCTCTCTATTTTGTTAATGAAAAGTGCAAAATGTCAGTGAGAAGAGTGATGCCCTATGTCAGGCTATGGTCTCCTTTTGTCTCTGTTCTTTGAAGCAGAATTTACCTTTGTCTTTGATCTAGAAGCTGTATACCAAGTCTTTACAAACCAGAGAGTTTAACCATATTTAAAGTTGAGGTTAAAAAGGGGTGAAGCAGTAATACATACTGCTTAGAAATTCGTATTTCACTGCATATTATTTGCAACAAATTATATATGTAACTGTATATTAAAGGGAGTCCTTAGAGTTCATAGCCACTTTTATACATTGTTGGCATTTTGAACTAAAATTTGTTTGCCCACCCCTGAGACCTGCTTCTGCAGTAAGATTAAAACCTTCTGATCAAAATGAATAGCCATATATAACCTTTAGCAACTGCATATGGAATAACACTCTTTATTCCTTTGCCAGTTTTGTTTTCCTTTCTGAAATGTTTGTACTGTATCAGCGTTTGCTGTGAAAAATTACCCACAGGTTTATTAAGCATATTAAGGAGGGAGGCAGAAGAAGCTAGTTTAAAGGGAAGAAACCTTTGATCAGTTTAGAATAGTTAACAGAGCAGAAGGTCAGCATTACTATTACCTGTTCTTTTGGGGCCCTGGTGAATGTCCATGTGAAGGGTGAAAAATCAGCTTCATGGAGATAAGAGCTTTAAATTCCTGTAGGGTGGTAGAGGTGCAGCTAGCCTTGGGTGTTTCTCACACCGCAGATGCTTTGGCTTGAGAAAATCTTTGAGCTTGTTTTGTTGCATTGCAAGGTCCCAGTCACTGCTGCTTTCTCCATCCTCCTCTGGCTTGGCACTGTCAGAGAAGGAAGTGGTGTGAGGGAAGAGAAGTTTTATTTCTCATTAGCAAGCAATGCTTTGTCCTTGGGTGTGTGTAGGTGTGTGTATGTGTATGAACAGTAGAAATGTAGGCAGCTGCTCACACTCCTCTGAAAAGCCTATAACAGGGAAAGCAGGATTTGGGCCAGAGGCAGAGCACAATGTGAGGAACATGTTACCCCATCTCCGCTCCCATCCCTGCTTATCTAAGTGTGCTCCTGAATGCTCTTAACACAGCAACCCTGCATCCCTCCAAATAAGTATTTATAAAAGAAACAGTGGCTCGTGTTTCCCATTTGTCTGGTTCCCTTCTCACTTCAACTCAGTTTGCTGCAAAACAGATCCTTTTAGCTTCCTTAGCTCTCCCTTTGGGAAAGATGGTATTGTACACAGAAAATAGCAGTGCTCACTGTGGGCTCTACAAGCACTATCATAAAGTTAGCACATTCAGGTTTTGTGTAGCAGAGTTTTGCTTGGGGCCACAGGGTAATGCTGTGTTTTGCAGGGCTGCAGTAGATGTTAGTGAGCTTCATCTGGAGTGCAGGATGCCAGTTGCAGAGCTCTATCTGAAGACATTGCTTCATGGTCCCTCCAGGTCAGCTCCCTGAATACTTGCCTTGCCTTAAGTGACCCAGCCAAAAAATGTACATGTTTTCTATGAGGAACAGTGTTTCCCTGGAGCTGGAGGATGTGCCACTTGCCACTTCAGATGCAAAGCAGTAGCTTTATGCCACCCTGCTGTCTTGGGGTAGAAACCTCCAGGGGGGTGGGAACACACACTGAAGCACTTGTTGAATATCGGTTATGGGTTCTAGGAGTGATAGATCTTTCAAAACAAAGGACTGGTCTTTAATAAGTGCTTTTATTTGAATATGCTAACTGCTAGTTTGTTACAGGAATACTGTATTTCCTATAGTGTGGACCTTTTGCTGGGCACTGACATATAGTCCTAGGCAAAAATCAGTTACTGAAGAAACCTGTTTTGCTGGAGGGAGTTCTAGCAGAAACTCTGGAATGATGTGTGGCTTGCTTTGTGTGGACTTAGTGTATCAAATGCTTTGTAGTGTTTTGAGTTTGCTATGAAAGCATAGCCCATGCTGTTCCAGATCTTTCTCTTGTTCAAATTACAACCTGACTTTTACGGTTTCTTGCAGGCCAGCCCTCCAGATCTCTATATTGAAAGATTTAACGTAGCTCTTGGACAGTATATGGGAGCATTGCAGAGCATTGTGCCTCTTTTCATATATATGGTAAGTTTTAGAAAATTCTTTTCAAATAAAGTATGTCCATACACAAGATATTGACTGAAAGTGAAAAGAATAAAATGCAGCTGTAATGATTTTTAACTTGTAGTAGCATTTATGATTCATGCCTGCTTTTGCTGACTGCACAACAGTACCGATTGTGGGGAGAAGAAAGGGGAGCTGTGCTTTTAAAGGTAGCATTTTGCAGTTGGTTTCTGCCCTAATATTTCTTTCCTAGGAGTGGGGGGAATGGTTTTTATTTTGTTTGGGTAAAAAGCTGTCCCAGGTAGTTAGGTCATTATTTATTAGAGATAGTTTAGTGGCTTGTTTCTATGTTGGCTTGGTACTTTGGGCGGATTACAGAGATGATTGTTTCTTGCTTTTAAATTGTATAGATTCAGACAAAATGGAAAGAAATGTCTCTTGGAAATGTGTGTCACTTGATAAAGCAATTTAGAGCATTGACTGGAGGAAGACAAACTTAAGTTCATAGCACTGTCAGGCATACTCACAGAGGTTCAGAAACCACTGGCTATGTTTGTCGTGCTGATTTTGTAATTCAGTGTCTTCAGCGCATCTCAAGAACTTTATGGTTTGCATAATTTTTGCCAAAGTGCCAAGACTTTTATTGCCTTTTTTTAATGTAGTGAATAACTTGAGCTTGAATTTTGCCCTTCTCCTGGAAAACATCCTTGCATTGGCAGCACTTAGAAGTAAGAAAAAGAAAGGAAATATTTGTTGGGAAAGAAACTTTTTTAAAAGAAAAGGAGGTATTTAAACTGATTTAGATTAAATAAATCTCAAACTCTTCAAAATTATTCTCATTGGCAGCTTCCCAGAGTTTGGGAAACATTATCTGTTAGAAGGATATCCTGTTTCAGAGAAAGTGCCTGAAACCGGGTAACTTGCTACAGCCTTTCAGCATAGTGCAGTAAAAGGGGAATTTGGGTGTCTTGAAATGGATGATTCTAATTGCTCTTCTCTCTCGTTAATACAGAATGAAATCCAGTTGCCACAGCTTTACTTGTAAGCTAAGAGCTGTGTTCCTAGTGCTGATTTTGTATTTTTCTCCTTGCTCCTGTTTTAAAATCCTGGAGAAAAACTAGGAAGAGACTGTTTCCCCCTGGTGCATTCAGATATTCTTATATGCTAGCCATTTATTCACCCATGCGTGCTTCACTTGTTTATTGCAGGCAGGTGTTCAAGAGGTCTCATAATTTAATATCCAAATGGAGATAAGGTGTTCAGGTGTGTACTTTTATTGAATTCTCAGTTCCATCACAGAGGTCAAAATCTATCTTTAACAATTAAGACTGCATAACAATCATCTAGACAATGTTCATGATAGACATAATCAGACAGGCTTTATCATTATAAGCTATATTTATATGACCAGGCAAGGTATAATTGCTGAATAGATTTCTATATCCTTCTTCGTGCACAGTTGTGATGTGGTGTTTGTATCTTCAAATGAGGACTCTCTGTATCTCATCCTTTCATTTTTAGAGTTTAACTGATATCTAAACATTGTAAGAATGGTTAGTGAGTAATAAACAGACCTGTAAAATGAATAGGGGTTTTATATTTTATTTCAGAATGAAGAAGAGAGAAAGTACTCTCTTGACCTAAAGGAGAAGCTTCTTTAAAGCATGACTAGTGATTTATTCAGGCAGTAAAATTCTGTTTCTGCAAACACTTTTCCATTTCATACAATTAATGAATGGTTTGGGTTGGAAGAGACCTTAAAGCTCATCCAGTTCCAGCTCCCTGCCATAAGCAGGGATACCTTCCACTAGAGCAGGTTGCTCCAAGCCCGTCCATCCTGGCCTGACTTAATTCAAGTTAGGCCTGAGAGTTATCATAAATGGTTTGGGTGGGGAAGGACCTGTAAGGGTCATCCAGTCCAACTTCCCCTACAATGAGGAGACACGTCTTCAATGGTCAGGCTGCTCAGAGTCCTGTCCAAGCTGGCCTTGGATGTTTTCAGGGATGGGGCATCTGCTGCTTCTCTGGGCAGCTGTGCCAGTGTCTCATTGTAAAGAATTTCTTCCTTACCTAGTTTAAAACTACCCTTTTTCAGTTTAAAACCATTACCCCATGGCCTATCACAACAGGCACTGCTGGAATGCCTGTCCCCATCTTTCTTAAAAGCCCCTTTGAAGTAAAGTTGACTTGCATATTAGTCCCTTTTGCTGCCAAATACAATACTGAGCTGCCTCAGATATATAGCTGATTTTGAAGGCTGATGTCAAATTAAGTGTCATACTTGTTCTCTAAAATAATTTGTTAATCAGTGCTGTGCATGATATGGAAAATATACTTGGGGAAGTCAGGATGAAAAGTGTTCAGGTTTTTTCTGTATGTGTTTGGAAGTACTTTTATGTACAGCTACTCTTGCAATTTTATATTTTAGGGTCTAATCAGGTTTTCTTTCAGCAGTTTCCTTTATTCAGACAAGAAAATATAATTAAAAAACAAAAAGTCTGATTATCCTACAGTACAAATTGCAGCTTTGCAGTTATTTAATAGTTATTTTCATTGTCTTCTTGGGTGAAGAGGACTAAGTTGTTGAGCTCTGCCTCTTTATCAGTACTGATGTGTGATTGCTGTAATCAGGAGTTTCCAAGGCTGTTGAGTTGCACTGGAAAACTTAATTCTGAAAGGATCATTATGCTGCTGCTTAGGAAAACTTTAATATGCATTTAAATATTTAAAATGAATGAAGCTGAGGAAAAGCTAAAGTTGTTTTTTTTTTGTACAACTGAAACATGGTTTTGTCCCTTGGTGGCCAAAAAAGACACGGAATTTTTCCTTAGGCTTATTTCTGTGTTTTGATGTCAATGCCTGCACTGTTCTTTCTGATGGGTACCAAACCATATTCATGTGTGTGAATGGTGGGAATACAGGAAGGGTGTTTTGTTAACCTTGTTGTATATGGTGACCAAGATGTGTTTCAAATCGTGAGTGATGGTTGAGAGGGCTGACTTTGTAGTTGAGGGAGTTTTCTGTTTCCTTCTTTTGCTAGTCACACTAGTGGGTTTATGTTTTCATGTGGTGATGGATTTTTCCGGTCTTATGTTGAGGACACCAGCATCATAGAATAGTTAGGTTTGGAAAGGACCTTAAGATCATCCAGTTCCAACCCTCGTGCCATGGGCAGGCACACCTCACACTAAACCATGCTACCCAAGGCTTCATCCAACCTGGCCTTGAACACTGCCAGGGATGAAGCATTCACAATCTCCCTGGGCAACCCGTTCCAGCGCGTCACCACCCTAACAGGAAAGAACTTCCTTATATCCAATCTAGACTTCCCCTTTTTAAGTTTGAGCCAATTACCCCTTGTCCTATCACTACAGTCCCTAATGAAGAGTCCCTCCCCAGCATCCCTATAGCCTCCCTTCAGATACTGGAAGGCTGCTCTGAGGTCTCCACGCAGCCTTCTCTTCTCCAGGCTGAACACAGTGGACTTCTTAAGGAAGCATGGAGACCCAGAGCACTTTCGTCCCTTCAGAATTCTTTGGGTCCTTCAGAAGCTCCAGGGTATAACTGCAAATAAAGCAAATTAAACTAGAAGCAGTTCAGCACATGGGGTTTTATTCCTAAGAATGATTCCTAGTGGATAAGTGTTTGCTTTGTAAATCAAAATGAGGTTATTCTGCCTGCTCACATATTGTGCATATCACAGCATGCTGCACACATGAATGAATAAAAATCATATTTCCACTTCAGGAAAAATTAAAATCAGCATTTAGATGATATACTTTTTTTCTAATAGGTTCTCAGTTGTTAATTATACTTGGAGATGTAGCTGAAAACCTGTGATCTTGTGGTTTTAAATGAGCCTAATGTTTGTGAGCACTGTGGTTTTAGAGTAGTTAAGAATGTTTTCATTGCCTTTAAAATACTACTATTCTTACTGGGTGGTATTGCTTTGTTGCTTATTATCTAGAGGGCATTTCATGTGTGTCTGTATACACAAATATATGTGAGTGTGTGTATATATATATATATGTGGATGAGTTAAGTGTTCTTATATTTTTTTTCTCTTTCAAGTATTTATTGATCTCTTAATACAACTGCGTTTGTTAACATCTGCCTTACATGATACGGTGTTTTGTGGAAGAAAGGCTTATATCATCTCTGACTTTCTCAGTTACTGATACCTGCTTACCTTCTCCTGTCAGTTAGACCTGTAGGTGACTTAACACACTTAAAGAAATACTGGTACAGCCTATGTAGTGACATCTCCACTAACGAGAACAGGAAAGCTGACAACTCTTCTGCTATCTCCTTTCAGCCCTGTGGATTGGACACGAAGTACTTAGGTTAGATGATTTTTTGTTCGTTCAAGTGTAACATCTTTTTGGAAAGGTGCTGCCAAGTGAGCAAACGTGAAGAATATTTTACAGTTGTTCCATGTTAAGTACTCTGTTGTAACTCTTCTGCTTGAAGCTGCTGGGGACTTGTGTTGCTTTTCTAGTTATGAAACTTAAGGCATAGGCTTTTCAATTGAACAAAAGGAAGCATCTCAGTCTGCACTTGTTGCCAGCTACTTTTCATGTAAAAAAGTCTTTAGTCTGGGAAGGGACCAGAGTGAGCTGTTTCCTTCAGCTAACTCCTCGTGAAAATCAGTAGTTTGGCATTGTCAGGTTTGGTTCATGTCAGTAGACCTGTGCTGAGATGCTCTGGTCACTCTTGTGTGTGGCACCGGTAGGTACATGGTAGCATGTGGTCAGGAAGCTTAAGGTGGAAACGGTTTAGGAAGCTAGGTCTGATGAAAGACTGTAGCATGGTGTGTAGCTTAATGCCTCTGAGATGAAGGCAAGGTTGGACAGAGCCGTGGCCGACATTGTCTAGTGTGAGGCATCCCTGCCTGTGGCATAGAGCTGGAGCTGGATGATCTTAAGGTGCTTTCCAACCCTAACTATTCTATGATTCTATGATGTGTATCTTCAGTTGCTGTGAATTTCTCTTGCAATGGCAATTCACCATTGACCAAAAATACTACAGTCTTTCTCTCAACCTCTGCTCAAAGGACAGGTCAAGGTGAGGGGAAAACAACTGAGTAATAGCCTTTGAGTAATACCCCTCTGCTGGTAGGGAGGGAACTGTCAGTAGGAAGCTACTATATCTTTAAAAAAATCTTAAGAAGATTGTTACCCATTACTGCAACAAACCTAAACTTCAGTAGGGGCAGGTATTCAGCCCTGCCATTGCTTTTGTTCCAGTAGGTTCAGTTTTCATTAAAGGTAAATGCTGCTGAATACTTGCCTTGAAAATGTAAGTGGTTTCTGCATGGTCAGTTTGTTATGTTATGTGTACAGTTTTGTAATGGCCAAGAAAATGGGTTTCACAAAAAGAAATTTCAAGATTGCCCTAATAGTGTTCCAAGGGCTTGTTCCAGTTGTGCTAAATGCGTTCGTGAACAGGAGAACAACTTGATTTAAAGCGTGGAAAAACCTTTCTCCCTTAAGAGATCCCTTCCTCTAGTAAATCTGTTAAGTGCTTCAGTACATTATTTTTTATTAAGTTGATTTTCCATTACAGTATCTATTGAACTCTTTTACCCATGGTGTCCAGATGAATTCAGTTGTACTACTTCCATGTTAATGTTGTGACGATAGGAGATTTATCTTGAAACAATTGTTTTTCCCAGCATTTCAAACCCACCTTTGAATAAAATAACAGACAAGAAATCTTACTATTAATTGCAGGCTGGGAACTGAGGATTAACACTAAATAGTACATTAGGTGTAGAGGTCCTCAAGGAACTCCAGAATAGAATTTCCTTCAAAGGTTGAAAGGTGAATGTATTATTAATGCTGAGTGGGTTGAGGTAATTGAATCCTAAACATTCCAATGTAGTTCAGTTTTGTACAGATTTATATATATCACTTATACCACAGTTTAGTAATTCTGACCAGCTATCCTCTGGGATTAGCAATGAACCAGACAGAAGTGGATAGTTGTACTGGTGATTTGTTATTGTAACATACCTATTTTAATGGCTTAGTTGCCTTTAGACACTGGTAAAAATGCTTTGTTTTGTTGCAAACATTATGTCCAACCCTGTTTTGGAGTTAGAGCATTTCTGAAGTTCTAAAATGAAGTGTTTTTTCCTACAAACTCGCCAGTCTGGATCAGTATGGAGATACATGTGTAGATGGGGGGGGGGGGCCACGGGGGGACGGGGACACACACGACAGAGGCATCCCTGTCTATAAGTAGGTTTGTTACCAGTAGTACTACTTGCATTCTTAATTTTAAATACCTGGGGGTGTTTTTATTGTATAGGAATGTTCTATTTAGTATGAATACAGTCACTGAGGAAGTGCTTTACAGGTCAAATATTCTACAGCTTTAAATTCTATTTTTATTTCTGGATAAGTAAGTGTATTTTATTTGCTGTTATGAAAAACAAACTTGGAAACTTCTGTCTTATTTTCCAGAATAAATTTTACATAGAAACCAAGCTTAACAGAGACTTAAAAGATGACCTTATAAAGCTGTTTACGGAACATGTTGCAGAAAAGCACATTTACAACCTAATGCGTAAGTAAACCTATTGAATTTTTCTTACAGTGGGAGTTTGGAAAACCACAGTGCTTTCAGATATTGCAGAAATCTACAGCAAATAGGGGGAAAATGGCGAATGGTTAGTGAACTTAAATACAAATTCCCTTTTAAGTCATCCATGTGAAAAAATGTGGCCTGCTTTTTCAGAGAATATGACCTTGTATGAAGTCAGGGTTTTGTTGGGTATCTGGGGGAGCAAATCTGCATTTTTCCTTAGGATTTCTGATGATGACAACAGATGTTTTATTGTGCTGTTGCTTATGCTGTTCCTCTTTAATTTCAGCATCAAAATATTGACAGGTATCATTAAGAATGTGATGTGGTCAGAGAATTATGACACCACTGGCGTTACTGTCATGATGTACTTGAGTACTCCCTGCCAGTTAGTGAAGTGCATACTGCTGGCAGCACTTTCTCTGTGAAGCTGATGGGTTAATGCAAATAGAATATGTTTCAAGTGATAAAACTTCCCGTTAAGTGCTCCTGTGGGTAACCCCTGTGGTGAACCGCTGAGTTTGCCTACAACCTGCTCTACCATCAGTGTGTGGTTGTGTGAGCTTAGGTGCCTAGGTAGTGGCCTGGTTAGTCCCTTGAAAAGGCAGTTAGCAAAGGTGGAGATAATCATGCATGGAGTTCAGAAAGTGGTGAGCAGTTGACCAACAGGGCTGAGAGAATTGCAATTGTAGATGCTTTGTACAGCTGGATAGTTCCTGTGTCCTGGGCTGAGTTCAGTACCTAGCCTACTGTACTCCCCTTTGTACCCCACCCCTGCTGCAGTGTCTCTGTTTTCATCTAGCTGGTCCCCTCCTCTTTGCTCTGAAGCACTTATCTGTATGCCAAATGGAGACCAAAGGGTGGGAGATTAGTGAAGTATATTCCTTCTTTTGTCTTTACTTGGGTATCAGTGCCCTTCTCTCTCCAGTGAAGAGCTGGGGGAGAGGAGCTTTGTTAAGCTTCTTAGGGTCACTGTGTTTTGGCCTTCTTGGAGAAGGGTGGGTGAACATGGTACCTACCCTCCGGTCAAGGAGCCTGGTAACCTAGAATGATGTGAGCTGATCAACTCTGATGCCATCTTGTTGTTCCTATTTGGAAAAATAGCTCTAAGAAGAGCTGTTAGCCATGTAGCAGATCAAATTACTTTGGAAGTAGCAGGACAATGAGGAATGCCCACCCATGGGCCTGATGTTTTATTGTGTGACAAAGAGTATGGTGAAATCTGGGAATATTATTGCTGCAACAAGATCATGGAAAACTCAGCTGATACTGCCTTAAAATTAAGTACATTTAATTCTAAGTATATGCATTTTTCAGGCAATGAAAACATTAATGTGATTTGGTTTTTTTGAGTGACAAAGGAAAGGTCATGCTGGTCACATCGTTAGAACCTAAGTATGAGAATCAAATAGTAATTATAGGTGGAACTATTGAAAGGAAATACCTGTGGTTGTGTATGCATGAAATCTGAAATACTTCTCTCCAGCTCTGTTGTAATTGCAGAAGTAAAATAATTGGAAAATTAAAGTGAGCTCTCATCAGTGGGGTTGCTGTGTATGGAGTCTGTTATTTAATGAGCAATTTACTTGGGTTTCATTTCAGTCTTACCATCAGCTTATTAAAACTGAGTTATTTAGGTTTTTATCTTAGGAGTAAGTAAGGTGATATATATGGGTGTGTATAAACTGCTGACCGTGACCTGACTTGCTTAAGTCTTGGATAATGGGGTTTTTAAATTGAGTTAAAGTATGCATAAAGAAAATTCTAAGCTTGCTATCAGTTCCCTGGGAAATTATTAAGGACACGTAGCACATGGTCCCTTTCTATTATTATTGTCCTATAAAGGTGCTGAAAAACTTGTATTGTTTTCTGCCATTCTTGGCTGTTCTTTCTAGCTTGCTGTAACTCAGGCCATAATAGAAAAGGATATTACCTTAATCTTTGGAAGTGTAAGGCCTATGTGAAAATAGCATGCAAGTCAGTGTTTGTTAATTACTGCCACATTGTCAGTGTGTGGTGCTGTTTCCTGACATTCTATGTAGACTTAGTTCAACAGAAAAGAGATTTTTGTATTATGGGGAGGGGGGAAAATAAGGTTTAGAGTGGGTATGGTTAGAAAATGAAAGTCATTGAAATTGTGATCTATATAGAGAAATGGAATCCAGGGGCTGTTTCATAGATGGCGCAGCTGCCACTTGAGTGAGAAGCAGCATGCCTTGCCTCTATTTTGAAAAGCAAGCAACAAAATAGGTTTAATCTGTTTGTGGGCTAGACTCAGAGAACAAGAATAGCATCTGCTTTTACTCTTGAAATTTGTTGCTATGTTTTTTGTACAAAGGGAGGTTTGTTTGTAGTATCTTGTCTTTCTGTCAGAGCCTGCAAGCTGGCATTTGTATTTGAAGTTGTGTTCAGGAAGGACAGTAAGTACATTCCAGGTTCTTTTGCTCAAAGAAAAGGTTCCTGCTCTACTTCAAAAGATGGGGATAAATTAAGTCGGAGTAGCAGTGCAGCACAGATCTCTTCCTTAGTGTTTGATCTTGCTCAAACTCCCACTCATTGAGACGGCCCAAGTCCCCGTGCTGTGTGGTTGAAGGCAGGAAGATGCAAAATGAACTCCTGGTCAAATGGTCTCTGTGGTGGGAGCACTTATCTGAGCACTTAGTTGCAGAAATAGAGTGATTGAGGTGCGAATTCATTACCTACAGAAGAAATATCGCTTAAGTGAGCTTTACTTGAACAAATTTTGCCTGCATAAACACCGATTTGGTTCCATTTATTTGATAGAGGAAATGTTTATTAATAAAACCGCCACAATGCTCTTTTATCTAGAGCGCTTATAAGCAGTTAATACATAAAAAGAAATAATACACAGATCCATATACACAGTTGTGTTTGTGAAACACTTTTACATTCACACATACTTATTGAGTCAGTGCTCTTCAAATTAAAGTGGATACATTTGAACTAAGTGAATATAACCTGGTTATTTTCCTTACAAAGCCAAAGCTGGCTCTTGCAGATAAGGCTGCGGTATTACATGGCTTGGGAGAAGTTGCTGTGTGCAGAATTACTTAACTGAATGTAAGAAGGAAAGATACAGCATCTTATTTACAAGAAGGTTCAGAAATGGGATGGGGGGAAGGTACAGATAATACCCACTTGTCACTAGGGAAGGGGTGGTGGAGAATGTTATCTTTGTTCCTGCTGGGGTCCTGCATGAGATGATTTATAAGCAGGAAAATTCAGAGATACATGGGGTTTTTTCTTCTTATGCAGCCACTGTCTTTTCTGGTAGGCTAGACCTGAGTTTCCTGTGTTCCCATCTTTGATCTGTTGTGTCAGGAAGAGATCATAAAACAGGTCCCTTTTCCCCAGAGGAAAGGAAATCTTTTGGGCCATGGTGAAAACGCTGTACAATAAAGAGGGACCAAGACTTCATGAGTCTGATCATTGTTATCAGGATCCATGGTGAGAACATGGCCTGTGAATGAGGAAATTCCCTGAAACTTACTAATACAAAACTGGAGTATGGGCTTGAAAATATGAAGTGTAGGCAGAATGATCACGGAGGATTAAAGCATTAGCTTTCAGCTTCTGAATGTCTCAGATTTTTGTTTATGATGTATATCAAGATAAGTACAGAATCACCTACTGAAACCCGAGCATATGGAGCGGTTGGTTATCTGTCTGTAGATTCTTAATAGAATGTAGGCAGCTATTGAGTGTAGTTTTCCGTGTCAGTGCTTGTGTGAGTTCAGAGCTAAAACCCAGTGTAAAAATGTATTCTTTACATTCATAGAATAGTTAGGGTTGGAAAGGACCTTAAGATCATCCAGTTCCAGCTCCTCTGGCATGGGCAGGGACACCTCACAGCAAGCCATGCCACCCAAGGCTCTGGCCAACCTGGTCTTGAACATTGCCAGGGATGGAACATTCACAGCTTCCCTGGGCAACCCATTCCAGTGCCTCACCACCCCAACAGCAAAGAAATTCTTCCTTATATCCAACCTAAACTTCCCCTGTTTAAGTTTTAACCCATTACCCCTTGTCCTGCCACTACAGTCCCTAATGAAGATTCCCTCCCCAGCATCCTTATAGGCCCCCTTCAGATCCTTCAGATACTGGAAGGCTGCTATGAGGTCTCCACGCAGCCTTCTCTTCTCCAGGCTGAACAGCCCCAACTTTCTCAGCCTGTCTTCATACAGGAGGTGCTCCAGTCCCCTGATCATCCTCGTGGCCTCCTCTGGACTTGTTCCAACAGTTCCATGTCCTTTTTATGCTGACGACGCCAGAACTGCACACAGTACTCCAAGTGAGGTCTCACAAGAGCAGAGTAGAGGGGCAGGATCACCTCCTTTGACCTGCTGGTCACGCTGCTTTTGATGCAGCCCAGGATACGGTTGGCTTTCTGGGCTGCAGGTGCACACTGCTGGCCCGTGTTCATTTTCTCATCGAACAACACCCCCAAGTCCTTCTCCTTGGGCTGCTCTGAATCTCTTCTCTGCCCAAACTGTAGCTGTGCCTGGGATTGCTCTGACCCAGGTGCAGGACCTTGCACTTGGCATGGTTAAACTTCATGAGGTTGGCATCAGCCCACCTCACAAGTGTGTCAAGGTCCCTCTGGATGGCATTCCTTCCCTCCAGGGTATCAACCGAACCACACAGCTTGGTGTCATCGGCAAACTTGCTGAGGGCGCACTCAATCCCACTGTCCATGTCAGCGACGAAGATGTTGAACAAGACCGGTCCCGACACCGATCCCTGAGGGACACCACTCGTTACTGGTCTCCAGCCGGACATTGAGCCATGTAGAATCCCTTGTGTTACCTTCACCAAAAATACCAATTCTCATGGTTTTCCAAGAAAAATTTCATTGTAAAAACCCTGGAGGAGAAGGAGGACTCGCAGCCTGTTTCCTTACATAAGCAGTTTCTAATAGCTTTCTAGGAAAAACTTTTCTCTGAAGAGTCTTATGTAAGACA